TAGAAGCACTGTTTGAGAACTTCTAGGTTTTGAGCAATCATAGATCAAAAAGAAATGCTGTCATCATATTTTATTCTAATACTTGCACATCATCCTGATTATAAACCATAAATGCATAATCACTATCATACCAAAATTCTTGAATGATTAACTATCAGTGTTTTGCTTTTGCTGTGATATCATTGCATACTGGACATATTCAATGTTACTAGTCCAAATCAATTTCTATATAAAATATGGGAAAAGTAATTGCTAGGGAAAATGGTACAAATATAGACCTTCTTTTGGTCTTCAGGTACAGAAAGATGGCACTTACCATCCTCTTCCTTCATTAATAGATAAATGAGGATCAAATGTTTATATAGTTGCTCACAGGTTTCAAAACTCATTTGACTCATATAACAATGCCATGAGGTAGGGAAGATAAGCTTTGTTCTCATTTTACAGATGAGAAAACAAAGCCTTTATAGCATAATTACAGCTAAATAGAGACATAAAAATATTAAAGAATCAGGGAAGATAAAAGAAGCAGGGTTAATGGGGTAAGTAGAATCACTGGACTTGGTGGTGTATTCATGTATTTGTATATGTCGGCTTGTATTGATTTATTAAAAAGAAAATCCCATAGGGTAACCCTTGGGGAGTGCAAACTACACTGTGCTCAGTTCCATCCCTGGAACATTTTGATCCATGTGAAATCAAGTAAAAAGTTACCTTTAAAGATCTCTTTGAATGAGAAAGGACAGCTTTGTAGGAGGTTTTGAAAAATGAAAGTCAGTGAGTGTCATCACTTTTTAGTCTTGTTTTTCTCATTACAATGAAATCTACTTGATAGCAAATATTTAGTTTCTTACTTACATTATAAATCTCCAATATCTTAACCAAAAAAAAACCTCTCTGTACACAATCCATATCATTATTACTTTAATTTAACTCTTGAAGATTGAGGACTCATGACCCTAAGGTGAACTGGAGTAGTGGTTTCCAGCCTATGCTTAAGGAAGGAAAGACCCCAGAAGCAAGCAGGGAGGGGAAAGGGAGAGAGAGCAGTGTATCACAGGCATTTAAAAAAAGGCCTGAGGCTTATAGGTATGCAGTCAATAATCCTTCCACTACTACCAAGAAAAAGTGGCGACACTGACCATCCTTTATATCTCAAAACCTGCTACAAAGCTGTCCTTTCTCATTCAAAGAGATCATTAGAGGTAATTTTTTACTTGATTTTTCACATGGATCAAAATATTCCAGGGAGGGAGGTAGAGGAGAGCGCACAGTGTGATTTTCCCTCCCTTGGGGTTTATTAATTTACAGTGTGCGTGCGTGCGTGCATATGCGTGTGTGTGTGTAGGGGGGTTGATCTTTTCTTACCTAAAATGAAATGTCATGGCCACCATTTGGGCACCCCGGTCCCAGTACTGAGGTACCTGGGAGGTCAAAATTTTATCAGATGGCTCCTTTGTAAGCATGGAATGCAGGAATATTTTGCTAAGAAAAACTTAATGAGAACATTTTCAGAGCTGGGCTCTTTGAGTTGTGGGTGTGGAAAAAGGAGAGAAAAGCCTTACATTTTTGAGGGATGGTCACTAAGAAGTTTTTTAAAAGGCTACCCTATTGTTTATTATGTATGTGTTTAATTGTGACAAATCGTTTACACAGTGATTTGTTAAGTTTATATAAATATCATAAAACATTTTGAAATGGAAAGGTCATTTCAAAGGCTATCGTGTTCTAGTTTTTACAGATGATTTAATTTCAAAGTAATGGTGCCAAGATGAAAGAGGAGATAAGGAAACAGAATGTCTAAAACTCTTCCATTTTAATAAGCTTGATTTCTTAGTCTTGTTCTACATCACAAAAACCAGGTCTACTGAGGGAGATTACCAATCCAACACACAAGAAGCTGCTTACACTATTCAGATATGCAAAATCCAAGAGTAAAATACTCTCAACAAACTATCTAAATTAAAGCTTCCTGACTGGCAGATTTTCCTAAGACCCATACACTACAGTACTTAATAGAATATAGCCCCATAATTCCACTCATGGAGAAGCTCCCATCTGCCAAGCAGAGCAAATTGTTGATTTGTGCTTAATAAGCCAAATGTGCATAAATTATTTTTAATTACATAAAACCAGGTGCTAAATTTAGGTGCCAGAGCAAAGTCATTACTTTTACCAGCCAGGAGGAACAAGGGATAATGTAAGGTAACTGCAAAAATCCAGAAGGATGAATTACTTCTCTAAATGAAAGAAGATCACTTTATCTGTAAAAAAGTCTTTTATATAATAAAAATGTTCATAAGATATTTCACCCTGCTGTAAACTAGGATGGTTAAGTAAGATAAAGTTAGGCAAATGGTAAGTAATCTACCAAATTTCCACTAGAAGTATTTCAGAAATTTAGAAAAGGCCCTCAGAATTCTAATTCCCAAACTAGTCTCCTGATGTAACAGAGATAGGGTTCTTTGTTGCTCCAGTTCCGTTATTAGAAAAAAAAAAAAAACAGAGTCAACTTCAACAAGTCCACAGCTAAAGTCATTACATTGCTGGTGGTTATTGCTAATTATCACAGGGCAAAGAAATGAAATCTTAAAGAAAGTACAACTATTAACATTTCTAGAAGGTCATTGTCTTTTCTTTATTAAACAAATGTATAAACGAATCTTTTAAAGGGGTAGCACATAACGGATTTTAGCAAACCAAATGCACAAAGGCAAGCTTATGCTGGCACACCAACTCCTGTGAGAGCTAATCCAAATGTGGATTTGTGGTAAAGCACAGCAAAGCTCTTGACTTCACAATTTTCAGTAAGAATACAGTAATTGAGCAGCCATGAAAATCAGCACAGTTTTGCTCTGGACCAAAAAGAACCAAACAAACCTTAAAAATGTCTCTTTGCTCCTTTCTGATCCATTTCGTTTAATTTACATAAAATACAGTGGCAGCTCTCATGTGGTAATTTCAAACATCTTGACAGGTAAAACAACCATGCAGAAAACAAACTGACCACAAAAATGGGGCTATAGCTATTCTCAACATACATGTGGTAGGAATTGTGGTTCATTTCTTCAGACAAATCTCTTATTCTAGAGATATGGGGAAGAGTAAATGGGAGTGCGGAGGATAGAGAATCTCAAGAATCTGATTTACCTATTATTTTTCAGGAATACAGTTGTACAAAATGAAATACACTTCTTCAGTAAATGTGGGCAGGGACATCAAAAAAATTCTGGTTAAGTAAAATTATGGGGAACCAAAATATTATGCTGTAACACAGGCCTGTAAGATCTATTTTAAATATATTCTGACCTGGTCTCAATGGACTCAAGTGAGTAAATTATATCACTGGGTAATTATGAATATTGATTCCCAAATTTTAATCTGGAAAATATATGCATCTATTAAATGGAAAGACTCCTCTGAAAAATAACACTTGTAATTTTTAAAAATCAGAAAATGGCAAAATGTCAAGTGTAATGAGGCAATTTTTGTTGCCATATTTTCAAGAGGCTCTTTTTAGAAGCTGGATAAGAGAATAGGCAAGATTTAAAAAATATATATCCTGTAGAACCTGAGAATTCTTTTCACCCTGGGGGGGCTTTAAAAAAGGAAATAGCACCCATTTATCACCATCTTAACAACATACATCGATTTCGCATCTATTAACCTTCATTTTATCCTCTCAACTCTGTGAGGTAGAAACCATTTTACAGAAGAGGAAAAGCAATGTCATCTCTTCCATGAATCTTTACCAAAACCTTCAATTATTTGGTTATAATTATAATTTGCCTGGTTTACTGGTTACTTCCCCCTAACCTGACCCTCTCCCCCTTATCCAGATCATGAGCACTTCAAAGGCAGGGAACTAAATTTTAATTGTGTTTGTACCCTAGCATTCCATGCGGCACACAGTAGGTACTTAAGGTTGAATAAATGAAAGAATCTGTCGAAATGTCATTCAAAAGAGATGAGCATGGGACTAAAATGCAGTTTTTCGGACTCTTGCTCTTCCCGTGACATCATGCTGCCTAAATTAAGCCTCGTCCACCACTTCAAGGCCACAGTGACAAACTAGAAATTGTCACGAAAAAGAGCTCTAGTCTCCCCAACGTCCAAAAGTTTGAAAGTCCTTGCCCAAGACGAGTGGTCTCAAACTAAAATTCTTTGAAGGCTTTAAACACTTGACCAAGGAGCACTTGATTTGTAAATCAAAGAATTGAAGGCAGGATGGATTCGGCGGGAAGAGTTAAACTTCCGTTTGTTTAATTGGTTTGCTTACAATCATGGCTTTGAAAGAAAGGGCAGCAACAAACACTTAAGAGAGAAATGAATTACGACGGTTAATTTGAGAAGGGATCCCAAGGATTGAGAATTTGGAGACAAAGTAAAAGATGCCAAATTGGGAGAGGTCGGCAATTCAGAGACCTATCCCTCGCCCTCCTCCCCCACTCGGACCCTCTTCCCCACCCCCCAATCTCTCATTTGAAGCCCATCCCTCAGGATGTGATTGGGGCTCCTCCTTGTCTCCTCACCATCCTCCCCGCCCCCACAGAAACGCTTACACTCCCCAGGGTGGTGATTATCGATAGGAGATTTTGTGAAAAAAGTTAAGTCCACAACTGCGAACTGGCTCCTGATACCAGCCTAAATGCGACCTGTCGAGGTCTAACACTCGTCATCAGCCCCCTCCCCCATGGGAAGCGACAGGGCAGGTACTTTGCCTCAGAAAGAACCCCTCCTTTGCCTCAGATTCTTCCTTTGCCTCAGAAAGAACCCCTCCTCCCTTTCCCTGTCCCACCCAAAGAGCAACTGCTCGTCCAGTGAGGCATTCTCATGACTCGGGGAGGGCAACCGAAAGGTGGTGGCGGGAGAAGAACCCCAGTCCCTCCGCCCAGGGTTTGGGATCCGGCGGCGGGTGGCGACGAGTAACTGTTCTCCTCACCACCTTTTAAGTACCAGCGAACACGGCCCCGAAGAGTGTGGGGGTGGCCACAGCTTACCTGTGAGCCCCCCTCCGCCTTCCTCCCCGTAGCCCCGACGCCGTTGCAGCACGAAGTAGTCGTTAGACCTTTCCATCAGCCACAGCTTCAGCGCATTTTTCAGGAGCACTTCCTCAGGCTTCAGCCACATCGCGAAGAACTTTGTGCCGCCCGGGACCAGCGACCCAGATGCCCTCCTCACCTCACCCTCCACCCGTCTCTTCCCCTCTACTTCTCCTCCCACCAAATCTTCCTCTGGCGGCAACCGCTCAGGTTCAGGTTTTCCACACTTCCCCCAACCCTCCCTTCTCTCCCACGTAGGCAACGAGATTGCCAATTCCCTCCCACAGCGTTACCGCCCGACTGGGAAATAGTCCCGCTTCTTCGCCTCCTGGGAGTTGTAGTTTCTCACCCGCTTTTCTGTACTCAAGCAACTGGAGCGCGGGACTACACTTCCCACAATCCACTGGGGGTGAGAACTGGGTAGGGGTGCTTTCAAAGCGGGTCCCGCCACCAGTTAAGTGTATTTTGGCTATCTAAAGTTTAAACCGTTTTTTTGTTCAAATAAGTGAGCCCCAGATATAAAAGTGTTGCTGCTTCTCATCGTTTTACAGCCGAGGGTGTTAAACTGTAGAAAACAAAGTTTCCAGAATTGTGGAGTAACGAATGGCCCATTCTGGGAAGCAGCAGTAGCAGCAACTAATATTGAATGAGCTCTTACTACATACTAAGGCGATTTCGCGTACTTTATCTTACGTAATCCTTACAGAAGTCTTGGGAAGTAGATCTTATGCCCCGCTTTGCACATAAACAAAAGCGCAGACGGGTGAGGTGCCTTATCCAAGGTCACACAGTAAGTGGAGTCTGATACAATTCCTGTTTAATTCAAAATCATCCTTAGATTAAGCTCTTTCTGCCCATACAGGAAGAATATAAGATCTCCAGAAGCCACGCAGTTTTCTTCACGCGGTGCACCCCCCGCCGTTACCCCCCCGCCGCCCCAATCTGTTTATTTAACTAATGTAATCAGCCACAGAAAATGTCTTGTCCGACTTTCCTTTTCAGGATGTAAACAATTTAGAGCAATGTTTTTTTTTTCTTTCTTAAACTCTTTAAAAAAAATCCTTTTCAGGGCGGCCTTTACCTGTACTTCGTACCCTGGCAATGACATGGAGCCGCTTAAACATTAAGGTGAATGAGGTCAGTAATTTGCATGACATCACAGTGAGGAATTATTTGAGGGACGTTTTTTATTTATTGCGATAACTAAGCCCACCAAAATTAAAGAGTGCACCAAAACCGAAAACATGTTTATAGAAATGAAGGAGCTGGGAGGCAACGTACAAAAAACAAGGGGTTCGTGGCAGCTATTTTGAGAAGGAAGCCTCAAGTCCATTTGGATAAAAAAATGGGGTGGGGCACACCCACATGCCAAGTCGCGGAGCCAAAGAACTCTGCTTGGAGGAGCGAGTCTGGCTTAACCCTCCCAAGATGTGGGCCAGCTCAAGGGAGGCAGGTGTGTCCTACAAGCAGGGAATTTTCTTTTGAGTGAGAAAGGGTCAATTTGGGATTCTCTTCTACTAAAAGGCGGTAAGTACTCCCAAGGCAGCTTTCTGGAGAGGATAGGAAGAGGTAATCTTCCCAGAGCCCAAACTGCAATGTATTCTTGGGAAAAGCCATCCTAATTTGGACGTGCACTAAAGAAGATCTTTCTTATCTTCTTGGTGAAAGATCAGTAAATGTAGCAGATGTAGAGATGTGAGGTGTCCTTCTTTCTTTTTACCTTTCCTTTCCTTTTTTATTTCCTTTCTCATCAAACCACATTCTTTTCCAGTACCCTTAATGGTTACAGTTGTGGCAAGGGCTGTCCAAAACCAGATGGTTCCTCTACCTCTTTATGCCATAACTTCATCCACATATATCCACATGCTCCCTGTTATAGAATCAGACCCACTTTTGGCTCAGAGCAGGACATTTAGAGAGCTCCTGCTTTAGTAAACAAATATTTCACTGGTTACATAAAGAAAACATTTTTTTCAAATTAAATCACCCCTGTGATATAAAATTTTGGCTTGATCCTAAACTATATTTCAAGACTTTGCAAATAACAGTATTTTTCTGAAAGTGCCTTAAAAAACAGAGCATGTCACTCTATTCAATATTCAGTTGTGTACGTTCGTGTAAATTGTTTTTAGGTAAGAAGGGCTGGAATTACAAACTGCCTTGGATATCATTGCTGGTACTCTACTGGTACTTTCAATCCTCATTAATAAGTTTGCACATTTTTCCATCTTTACACATGAAGAACAGGAGGCTCAGAGAAGTTAAGTAACTTGCCGAAGATCACATAGCTAAATAAATGACAGAGGTGGGATTTGAACCTAGATTTGTCTGACTACAAACCATGACACTATACTACCTATGCATATTCTTTATAGATACCTCAAATACAACATGTCCAAAGCCAAACTGATTTCTCCAATATCCCCCTGCCCAAAGTTGTTTCTCCTACTAGGTTCTCATAGTTCAGAGTACCACTGTTTACTAAGATGCTGAAGCTTTGGAACCTTGGAATCATCTTAAACCTCTTACTCTCACCACCTCCACTGTCACACACACACTTACTTCTTTTTCAAAAGCCCATCCCATCCTCCTCCTATCACTTCAGATCAGCCTCACATCACTCTCCTGCTACACTATTATAATAGCTTCCCAACTCATCGGTCTGCTTCCATTCTTGTTTTCTGATTTATCCAAGCCTCATATTTGTGGACACAATGTTATACCATGCAGAGTTGAATAATACCCCATTCATCCAGAGGTTAGTCTTCCAGCTGACTCAGCTTTCTAAATCATAGCCTCAAACACCTATGTGAAAAGATACTAGGAAAACCCAAATAGCAATTCCAAACCCTGTGCCATAGAAAAGCCAAGGCTGTCACTCAACAGTCTAATGGATTCTTATTTGAAACGAATTTCACAAGCTTAGTTCATGCTTTACAGTCTGAAGCAGGATTAGAAGCAGTAAGAATCAAAACAGGTGGAACACTGCTAGAGGAGAGCCATTTCAAGTTTTGCTACTCAAAATGCAGACCCTGGACCCGTAACATCTGTATCACCCCGGAGCTTGCTGGAAATTCAGAATCTCAGACTACATTCCAGACCCGCTGAATCAGAGTGTGCATTTTAACAAGATCTCCAGATAATTTGTAGGCACATTAAAGTTTTAGATGCACTGATTTAAAGCAAATTAGACATTTGAAAATCAAACTCTACAATAAATTGAGGGGTAATTAATCACATTTCCATTAAGACCTACATAGGCATCTTTTAAAAAACAAGCTCTGTTAATGAATTTTAGATGACTGAATTGCTTTTCAAAAAGTTTATATCGGGACATGCCCATTAAAATTTTCTAAGGCAGTGGTTGGGAACTGGGATATCAGTTGGAGTAGAAATTGCCAGTAACTATCCATGCTAAACCCTACATATATACACTACTCTCTAAACATCAAAATCTAGGTATGTCTAGGGGGCCAGCCCCGTGGCTTGGCGGTTGTGTGCGTTTGCTCTGCTACTGGCGGCCCAGGTTTGGATCCTGGGCATGCACTGATGCACCGCTTCTCCGGCCATGCTGAGGCCCCGTCCCATATACAGCAAATAGAAGGATGTGCAACTATGACATACAACTATCTACTGGGGCTTTGGGGAAAAAAAGGAGGAGGACTGGCAATAGATGTTAGCTCAGGGCCGGTCTTCCTCAGCAAAAAGAGGAGGATTAGCATGGATGTTAGCTCAGGGCTGATCTTCCTCACACAAAAAAAAAAATCTAGGTATGTCCACAAGTGTCTCACATTTATGAGAGCATATGTTTCTGGAGAAAAAAAGTTAAGAACTAGTGGGTAGTGTTTTTCAAAGTTTTCACTGAATTAGCTTTAAGGTAGGGGACAATGAACGTTTATCTCTGGAGGTCAAAGTGCCCATGATAATCATGAATTTCTTTTAAGTTTCATGTATTATGTAAATCTAAATTTTATATTGTTTAATATGTTTGAAAATATTTTTAAAATCCACTCCAAACAGAAGAGGCAATGAGTAAGGTAAATAATTCACAATTTGTTATAGGCTTAAGGTAATAGAATTTCTCCAGATGCTATAGAACTTAATTAAAATATTTAGTAAATGAACAAAAACTAGATGTAGGGGGGAAGAAGGAATGTTCCTAGCATTCCAATTATATCTAAATGTAGTTTTACTGATTTACTTGGGACCATATATATTCTTATTTATAAGATAATACAATCTGACTTCTGCTAAACTTACAAATGAACTTGCAGAAAACCCCTCAAGTGGGACATTCCCTAAATAGTACAAATATATCTACTGCCACTCTTAAAGGAATCAGCTTATATTTTATTATGTGAGAGTAAGAGTCTGTTGCACAAACTATCTTTTTTTATTATCAAAAGATAATAGCAGGAAGAAAATTCACAAGTGACATGGAATTCCTCTCCTTTGTATATATGCAAGAGAACTGAAAACAGACATCTATACAGACTTGTACATGAATGTTCATAGCAGCATTATGCATAATGGTCAAAAAGTGGGAACAATCCAAGTGTTCATTAACTGATGAATTGATAACTAAATGTGGCATATCCATAAAATGGAATGTTATTCAGCATTGAAAAGGAATGAAGTACTGATGCATACTTGGATCAACCTTGAAAATATTATGCTAAGTGCAAGAAGCCAGTAGCAAACATATTGTATGATTCCATTTATATGAAATGTCAAGAATAGGCAAATCTATAGAGACAGAAAGAAGATTGGTGGTTGTCTGGGGCTGGAAATGGGAGCAGAAACTAACTGCAAATGGGTATGAGGGGACTTTCTGGGGTGATGGAATGTTCTAAAACTGGACATTCCGCTAAACATCATGGAACTGTACATTTACAATGGGTGAATTTTTGGTATGTAAGTTATACTTCTGTTAAAAATTAAATGTTTTTAATTTTAATTAAAAAATTTAATTCTGTTAAAAATTCAAAAAATTAGGGCCGGCCCTGTGGTGTAGCGATTAAGTGCTTGCGCTCCGCTGCTGGCAGCCCAGGTTCAGATCCCAGGCGTGCACCAATGCACCGCTTGTCAGGCCATGTTGTGGCGGCGTCCCACATAAAGTGGAGGAAGATGGGCACGGGTGTTAGCTCAGGGCCAGTCTTCCTCAGCAAAAAAAAGAGGAGGATTGGCAGATCTTAGCTCAGGGCTGACCTTCCTTACACACACACAAAAAAAATAAAATTCAAAAAATT